TTTGGGGTGCCAGGTGTAAATGATAATGGGAGCCCTTTGATTGAACTTTGTATAGAAAGGGGTTTAGTTATAGGTAATACATATTTTAAGAAAAAGAGGATAAATAAGTATACAAGATATGATGTAGGGCGAAAATGACAGTAGTTTGTTGGATTATGTATTGGTAGATAAAAGACTGTTGAGTAGACTTCAGGATGTACATGTTTATAGAAGGGCCACAGATATATCAGATCACTTTCTAGTTGTAGCTACACTGAGAGTAAAAGGTAGATGGGATACAAGGAGAATAGAAGCATCAGGGAAGAGAGAGGTGAAGGTTTATAAACTAAAAGAGGAGGCAGTTAGGGAAAGATATAAACAGCTATTGGAGGATAGATGGGCTAATGAGAGCATAGGCAATGGGGTCGAAGAGGTATGGGGTAGGTTTAAAAATGTAGTGTTAGAGTGTTCAGCAGAAGTTTGTGGTTACAGGAAAGTGGGTGCGGGAGGGAAGAGGAGCGTTGGTGGAATGATGATGTAAAGAGAGTAGTAAGGGAGAAAAAGTTAGCATATGAGAAGTTTTTACAAAGTAGAAGTGATGCAAGGAGGGAAGAGTATATGGAGAAAAAGAGAGAGGTTAAGAGAGTGGTGAAGCAATGTAAAAAGAGAGCAAATGAGAGAGTGGGTGAGATGTTATCAACAAATTTTGTTGAAAATAAGAAAAAGTTTTGGAGTGAGATTAACAAGTTAAGGAAGCCTAGAGAACAAATGGATTTGTCAGTTAAAAAATAGGAGAGGAGAGTTATTAAATGGAGAGTTAGAGGTATTGGGAAGATGGAGGAATATTTTGAGGAATTGTTAAATGTTGATGAAGATAGGGAAGCTGTGATTTCGTGTATAGGGCAAGGAGGAATAACATCTTGTAGGAGTGAGGAAGAGCCAGTTGTGAGTGTGGGGGAAGTTCGTGAGGCAGTAGGTAAAATGAAAAGGGGTAAGGCAGCCGGGATTGATGGGATAAAGATAGAAATGTTAAAAGCAGGTGGGGATATAGTTTTGGAGTGGTTGGTGCAATTTTTTAATAAATGTATGGAAGAGGGTAAGGTACCTAGGGATTGGCAGAGAGCATGCATAGTTCCTTTGTATAAAGGCAAAGGGATAAAAGAGAGTCCCAAAAATTATAGGGGGATAAGTCTGTTGAGTATACCTGGTAAAGTGTATGGTAGAGTTATTATTGAAAGAATTAAGAGTAAGATGGAGAATAGGATAGCAGATGAACAAGGAGGCTTTAGGAAAGGTAGGGGGTGTGTGGACCAGGTGTTTACAGTGAAACATATAAGTGAACAGTATTTAGATAAGGCTAAAGAGGTCTTTGTGGCATTTATGGATTTGGAAAAGGCTATGACAGGGTGGATAGGGGGGCAATGTGGCAGATGTTGCAGGTGTATGGTGTAGGAGGTAGGTTACTGAAAGCAGTGAAGAGTTTTTACGAGGATAGTGAGGCTCAAGTTAGAGTACATAGAAAGAGGGAAATTATTTCCCAGTAAAAGTAGGCCTTAGACAAGGATGTGTGATGTCACCGTGGTTGTTTAATATATTTATAGATGGGGGTTTAAGAGAAGTAAATGCGAGGGTCTTGGCAAGAGGCGTGGAGTTAAAAGATAAAGAATCACACATAAAGTGGGAGTTGTCACAGTTGCTCTTTGCTGATGACGCTGTGCTCTTGGGAGATTCTGAAGAGAAGTTGCAGAGATTGGTGGATGAATTTGGTAGGGTGTGCAAAAGAAGAAAAATTAAAAGTGAATACAGGAAAAAGTAAGGTTATGAGGATAACAAAAATATTAGGTGATGAAAGATTGGATATCAGATTGGAGGGAGAGAGTATGGAGGAGGTGAATGTATTCAGATATTTGGGAGTGGACGTGTCAGCGGATGGGTCTATGAAGGATGAGGTGAATCATAGAATTGATGAGGGGAAAAGGGTGAGTGGTGCACTTAGGAGTCTGTGGAGAACAAAGAACTTTGTCCTTGGAGGCAAAGAGGGGAATGTATAAGAGTATAGTTTTACCAACACTCTTATATGGGTGTGAAGCATGGGTGATGAATGTTGTAGCGAGGAGAAGGCTGGAGGCAGTGGAGATGTCATGTCTGAGGGCAATGTGTGGGTGTGAATATAATGCAGAAAATTCGTAGTTTGGGAAGTTAGGAGGAGGTGCGGGATTACCAAAACTGTTGTCCAGAGGGCTGAGGAAGGGTTGTTGAGGTGGTTCGGACATGTAGAGAGAATGGAGCGAAACAAAATGACTTCAAGAGTGTATCAGTCTGTAGTGGAAGGAAGGCAGGGTAGGGGTCGGCCTAGGAAAGGTTGGAGGGAGGGGGTAAAGGAGGTTTTGTGTGCGAGGGGCTGGGACTTCCAGCAGGCGTGCGTGAGCGTGTTTGATAGGAGTGATTGGAGACGAATGGTTTTTAATACTTGACGTGCTGTTGGAGTGTGAGCAAAGTAACATTTATGAAGGGGTTCAGGGAAACCGGCAGGCTGGACTTGAGTCCTGGAGATGGGAAGTACAGTGCCTGCACTCTGAAGGAGGGGTGTTAATGTTGCAGTTTAAAAACTGTAGTGTAAAGCACCCTTCTGGCAAGACAGTGATGGAGTGAATGATGGTGAAAGTTTTTCTTTTTCGGGCCACCCTGCCTTGGTGGGAATCGGCCAGTGTGATAATAAAAAAAAAATAATAATATACCCAATAATTCTAGCGGCTTCAAATCAAGCGGAAGAAAGCTGGTAGGCCCACATGTGAGAGAATGGGTCTGTGTGGTCAGTGTGCACCACATAAAAAAAATCCTGCAGCACACAGTGCGTAATGAGAAAAAAAAACTCTGATCGTATTTTTGGATTAAAACGCCGACTTTGAGGTGCATTTTCGTATAGTATTTATTGATGTATTTGCGTTTTCATGGTCTTAGGTGATAAAATGGAAAACATATTACAGAAATAGAGATGATTTTCATTACTTTGACGATGAAAACGACCTTGAAACTGAGCTCAAATAAGCGGAAATGTTCGATTTTTACCAATGTTCAGGAGTAAACAAATCACACCACACATCCAATACACGTCAACTGGGGAGTCTAATATTCTTTCACTAGTGCACTGATATTATTTATACCATTTTTACAATAATGCAGTAGTCTGCATAACAGTAAATTTTGTATTTTTTTGTATGAATAAAAAATCAAAATAGAAAGCAATAATAATATTAGAGGGGCCTAGAGATGTGACTAATGAACAGAGGATATGTTATTTTAGTGCCAAGAATGTCTACCTTGTTTATCCTGGACCCTATTTTGAAATTGGCATCTTGTTTAGTTTGCGTGAAATTGGCCAAATTGCCAATTTCTGACCACAATATTGGGTAGTCCAAGTTGGTAAATGGGAGGTTTCTTGTACTCAGCTGATAGATAAAATGGAGTTCTACAGAAATAGCTATGAGTTTGGTCAACTGGAACAAAGGAACTGGCTGAAAATAGGGCTCAAAGTCGGCGAAATCGCCGATACGCATATGTCGCCGAGACCGCTAACTTCGCGGGAGTGTAATTCCATGAGTTTTCGACCAAATTTCGAACTTTTGGTGTCATTACCATCGGGAAAAGATTCTCTATCATTTCATAAGAAAAAATAAATTTTTTTTGCTTTTTTCAAAAATTTAGCGACATAGAATGACAGTTTCAGAAAGGGGCCTGAAACAGTCAAAGGGTTAAAGTGAGTGGAATCAAGTAGTTTTATGGTTTGATTTGTTGTTGGAGTGTGAGTAAGGTAACATTTATGAAGGGATTCAGAGAAGTCAATTAGCTGGACTTGAGTTCTGGAGGTAGGAACCACAGTGACAGTAGCACTCTGAAGAATGAGTAGGGATGAGTTTGGAGGGTCATTTGAATTATAATGTCTGCTTATTTCTAGCAAGACAGCTGTTGAATGATGGACATGTTTCCTTTTTTTGGGGTCACCCTACCTCAGTGGGAGATGACTGGTGTCTTAAGAAAATGTTTTTTGCTACTCATTTATTCGGGTGGCAGATAAATTACAGTACAGGCAGGCCCTGCTTTATAGAGCTTCGCTTTATGACATTTTGCAAATGCAGCGATTTTCAATTCCAGCCTCTCTTCACTTAACGACAGAGTTCCGTTTCTAAGACCATGTCAGTAAGTAAATTCGTTGTTAAGCGAGGAGCATACTATAATGGTAGTGGGTTTGTGTCAACCATCCTTGATATTGTTTTAATGTCACCTTTGCACCATTTATAACATTTCTGGTGTATTTTTAAATGTTTATACAGTAGTGCACTGTATGTTGTAATACACAGGATAGAGGAAATCAGCTGTGATATACATTAGTTAGGTATGCATACTGGTCAGAGAGCCCGTCATAGGTTTGAGTCATCGACAAACAGATATGTTGTTAAGTAAGGAGAGGCTGTATACCCATTCTTCATTTATTCAGACTTCCTATCATAAATGTATTCACCACTCACTATAAGCTAAAGATGAAAATAAGTTAAGTAATGTGTGTGTGTACTATATTATATGCATTTTTTAGGCCTAGCTCTATTGCTCACTTAATATATGATAGTGTAAACATGTTATCAGGCTTTTATATGTATATGTATATTGGCAGTTTGGAGGGATATGTTGTGTATCTTTATATGTGTATGCTTCTAGACTGTTGTATTCTGAGCACCTCTGCAAAAACAGTGATAATGTGTGAGTGTGGTGAAAGTGTTGAATGATGATGAAAGTATTTTGTTTTTGGGGATTTTCTTTCTTTTTTGGGTCACCCTGCCTCGGTGGGAGACGGCCAACTTGTTGAAAAAAAAAAAAGAAAAAGAAAGTAAAAATGGCTATCTTTCACTTTACAGAAGTAGCCCAGAACCTAACCTGGTGTATAAGTGGGGCCCACCTGTACAATATTTCAGTTTTGCATCAGTAAATTATATACATGCTTTATTTTATGATTGTCTTTGTACCAGGGAAACCAAAAAATTAAACACAAGTTCACCACTGGTGGAAATTGTGGAGCTGATGCGAGATCCTGTGAAAGGTGTAAACCTACTGAACCGACAGGCTGGTCTTCCTGCTCTTACCTTTGTTGCTGCTGATGCAACTGCCTGGGTGTGTGAACATATAGAAGGAGCCATCACTGAAGTTGTTGCTGTAGAATTATTACAGGTGAGTTTTGTAACACAAACCTCAATAAAAATATTCTCAGTATACATTTGGTGAATTCATTACTCTTAGCTGCTAATGAGAAACTTAGGGATAAGTATCAATTTAATTTACAGTTGGTCAGACTTCTATAAGGTTTCAAAAACATTTAATTCATAGTTCCCTGTTAGTTTACCAGTATTCTGTTTCATAAAGACTTTGTACAATATACTCAGTAAACTACAGTGTAATTATCCATATTAGAAATGTAATGAATTAACTTAAATATTAAGTTTCATGTATTAATTCATATATTAAGTTTCATGTATTAATTCATATATTAAGTTTCATGTATTAATTCATTTGTATTTATTTTCAGAAAATGTTAAAGAATGAATTAATTTGCCATGCATCAGGGGACAGTCAGCATAAATTTGTACATGGCTTCTTATTGTACTTCATTGTAACAGGAAATAAAGGTTAGGGAACTGTGTATCTGTAGTTCCTTATAAAAAATTCTTAAACATGGGCGTGGTGCTCAGGGTTTTGACATGGCCTTTCCATGTTTATCAACGTACACTTATTATTTATGCAACAAAATCACACGAAACATGTGATACCTTATACAATTTGATCACAGTGAAACATAAATAAATTTCATACTTTTGTGCTGTGTGAAACACATTCTCAAGGAACATAGTGATGGAAATGTTACAATATTACATTTTGCAGTGAAAGGCCACCTGAGACAGGTCTGTGCCATATACAGTTGTGCCATGTAAGATATTGCTGATAGTCATGTGGCAAGACATTGCAAAAAGCAGCTCTCCAAGTTTTAATTATGATCTTTGCTTAAGGAGCTGATATGTCATGATCAGTGGAGGAGGAGGAGGGACTATCAGTCACACCATATTCATTCTGTGTAGTTGATTTTGGAGATGTAACTGATGCCCTGAAATTGAGAGTTTACTTTACTTTATAATGAACATTGCAATTGATTATAAGTTATTAGGAATAATGTGATTGGAGGTGGCTAGGCTGTGAGGCATTACATGCACCAGGTGGATTGCTTCTTCCTATTATCTGCAAGCAGAGAGAAGCTCTGGTCTGAGATATGAATTGTTTATCTAGGGGTAAAGAAGGTATAGTCTAAATTTGCTATAGTACATTTTTATTATGGGCTTGCTAAACATTTTTTTTCTTTTAACAAGTCAGCCGTCTCCCACTGAAGCAGGGTGACCCAAAAAGAAAGAAAATCCCCAAAAAGAAAAACTTTCATCATCATTCAACACTTTCACCTCACTCACACATAATCACTTTTTTTGCAGAAGTGCTCAGAATACAACAGCATAGAAGCATATACGTATAAAGATACACAACACATCCCTCCAAACTGCCAATATCCGAAACCCCTCCTTTAAAGTGCAGGCATTGTACTTCCCATTTCCAGGACTCAAGAATGGCTATATAAAAATAACAGGTTTCCCTGAATTTTTTTTTTTTCAGTAAGTCGGCCGTCTCCCACCGAGGCAGGGTGACCCAAAAAAAGAAAGAAAATCCCCCCAAAAAAATACTTTCATCATCATTCAACACGTTCACCACACTCACACATTATCACTGTTTTTGCAGAGGTGCTCAGAATACAACAGTTTAGAAGCATACACATATAAAGATACACAACATATCCCTCCAAACTGCCTTCACTAAATATTACCCTGCTCACATTCCAACAGCTTGTCAGGTCCCAAATACCATTCATCTCCATTCACTCCTATCCGACATGCTCACACACACTTGCTGGAAGTCCAAGCACCTCAGCCACAAAACCTCATTTACCCCCTCCCTCCAGCCTTTCCGAGGACGACCCCTACCCCGCCTTCCTTCTACAGATTTATATGCTCTCCATGTCATTCTACTTTGATCCATTCTCTCTAAATGACCAAACCACCTCAACAACCCCTCTTCAACCCTCTGCTTAATACTTTTATTAACTCCACATCTTCTCTAATTTCCACACTTCGAATTTTCTGCATAATATTTACACCATACATTACCCTTAGACAGGACGTCTCCACTGCCTCCAACCGTCTCCTCGCTGCAGCATTTACAACCCAAGCTTCACACCCATATAAGAGTGTTGGTACCACTATACTTTCATGCATTCCCTTCTTTTCCTCCATAGATAAAATTTTTTTGTTTCCACATATACCTCAATGCCCCACTCACCTTTTTTACTTCATCACTTCTATGATTAACCTCATCCTTCATAAATCCATCCACTGACATGTCAACTCCCAAATATCTGAAAACATGTACTTCCTCCATACTCCTCCTCTCCAATTTGATATCCAATTTTTCTTTATCTAAATAATTTGATACCCTCATCACCTTACTCTTTTCTATGTTCACTTTTAACTTTCTACCTTTGCACACACTCCCAAACTCTTCCACTAACCTTTGCAGTTTTTCTTTAGAATCTTCCATAAGCACAGTATCATCAGCAAAAAGTAACTGTGTCACTTCCCATTTTGTATTTGATTACCCATAATTTAATTCCCACCCCTCTCCTGAACACCCTAGCATTTACTTCTTTTTCAGCCTCATCTATAAATATATTAAACAAACATGGTGACATTACACATCCCTGTCTAAGACCTACTTTTACCAGGAAGTAGTCTCCCTCTCTTCTACACACCCTAACCTGAGCCTCACTATCCTCATAAAAACTCTTTACAACATTTAGTAACTTACTACCTATTCCATATACTGGCAACATCTGCCACATTGCTCCCCTATCCACTCTATCATATGCCTTTTCTAAATCCATAAATGCAATGAAAACTTCCCTACCTTTATCTAAATACTGTTCACATATATGCTTCAATGTAAACACTTGATATACACATCCCTTACCCACTCTAAAACCTCCTTGTTCATCTGCAGTCCTACATTCTGTCTTACCTCTAATTCTTTCAGTTATAACCCTACCATACACTTTCCCTGGTATACTCAGTAAACTCATTCCTCTATAATTTTTACAATCTCTTTTGTCCCCCTTCCCCTTATGTAAAGGAACTATACATGCTCTCTACCAATCCCTAAGTACCTTCCTCTCTTTCATACATTTATTAAACAAAAATACCAACCACTCTTAACACTATATCCCCCCTGCTTTTAACATTTCTGTCATGATCCCATCAGTTCCAGCTGCTTTACCTCATTTCATTCTACGTAATGCCTCACGCACCTCCCTCACACTCACATCCTGCTCTTCTTCACTCCTAAGAGATGGTATACCTCCCTGGCTAATGCATGAAATTACCGCCTCCCTTTTTTGGTCAACATTTAAAAATTCCTCAAAATATTCCCGCCATCTACCCAATACCTCCATCTCCCCATCTACTAACTCCCCTACTCTGTTTTTAACTGACAAATCCACTCGTTCCCTAGGCTTTCTTAACTTGTTTAACTCACTCCAAAATTTTTTCTTATTTTCATTAAAATTTCTTGACAGTGTCTCTCCCACTCTATCATCTGCTCTCCTTTTGCACTCTGTCACCACTCTCTTCACCTTTCTTTTACTCTCCATATACTCTGCTCTTCTTAAAACACTTCTGCTTTGTAAAAACCTCTCATAAGCTACCTTTTCTCTTTTATCACACCCTTTACTTCATCATTCCACCATTCACTTCTCTTTCCTCCTGCACCCACCCTCCTATAACCACAAACTTCTGCCCCACATTCTAATACTGCATTTTTAAAACTATTCCAACCCTCTTCAACCCCCATCCCCCCCACTACTCATACTTGCACTAGCCCACCTTTCTGCCAATAGTTGCTTATATCTCACCCGAACTTCCTCCTTCCTTAGTTTATACACTTTCACCTCTCTCTTACTAAACATGCACAGTATTATATTATTGTGAGCTCTTTCTTCAAGGATGGTGTCTTGATATAAGGAATTGGAGTTATCCTCCCTTTCCTCAGATCAAGCCAGATTACCAAACGCTTTCCAGACAGTGTACAATCCTTACAGGTTTAGTGCTTCCCAGTGAATATAATATTAATAAAATACTGATTCCTGCTGCACCCTTAGACATGATGTTGTGTTACTAATTAAGGGCATGGTTAAGCAGTGTAATAATAAACTGGGAGAGGGAGCCATAATGAGTTATATGTGAAGTTAGGACATGACATCACAAAATGCCTCCCCCATTCATGTTACAGTACAACATTGCTTGTCTCATTTAATTGAATACTTCAGAGGATATTATCATAGTTATTATTATTAATGATTATTTTTTTGCATACCCTGCCTAGCATCATGTAACATAATTGTTGAAATATCACTTATCTGGATGACTGCAGGGGCTGTGTATGTAGTGGTGAGATGATATGTGCTACACTCTGGTACAGGCTGCTTCTCTTGCTCACATAAGCTTTAGTATTATTATTTATTTTTTAATGTGCCGGCCATCTCCATCCAAGGCAGAGAGACCCGAAACAGAAGAAATGAAAAGTTTTTCCTCTTTTTACATTTAGTAATTTATGCAGAAGAGGCTACTAGCCCCTTGCTCCCATCATTTGTCACATCATATGACATGTATGGTTTACAGAGGAAATATTCTTCTCCATTTCCCCTATTATTATTACCAGTATTTTTTAATATCCTAGGCATTGCAGTGATCTTGAATAGAGGTCATTTTAGCTCATAGTATTATTTTATTGTTTTATTTTTATTTAATTTTTTTTCAACAAGTCGGCCATCTCCCACCAAGGCAGGGTGACCCAAAAAAGAAAGAAAATCCCCAAAAAGAAAATACTTTCATCATCATTCAACACTTTCACCTCTATATAGTGTTATTTTTTGGAAATGCAATTGAAAAAGTTTATCCAAAACTGAATACTGCATGAAAAGGCTTTCATTGTATGTGCTGGTCAGTTTTGCACACTTTTTTGATTATGTTTACAAAATATCACACTATATAGAGAAGCTTTGTAAGAGAACTGGCTGTACATCATAATTTCACTCCTAGCCATTTGTGCTTCTTTATGAGAGCTGTACATTGAACCATTCACTCTGTAAGGTTACTTTGCTTTTTACTTATTTTATTACACTTACATGTGAATCTATCTTGTGAACTTAACAGTTCTTAGCCATTTGAGTTATAATTTCATATAGTATTTTTAAGGCTTCACCTTGTTTCAGTAATAACTCTATACAATACATGCATCCTCCTCCTTAGCTTTTTTTTGTAAGATTGCTCAAGAATAAGTTATGAAAATCAAAATAGATTAGTAAATAATTTTAAGATGATTCTGTTTTCACTTTTTGCAATTTTTAAGAATTTTTTTCTACTGAAACTTGTGTTACAGAGCAAGATCAGGTTGGCTATGACCTGAGTACTTACCACTCTGAATGGCACGAGGTGGAGGTGGAACCTCTTAATATCAAGCCTGGAGGAGTCACTGCTACTCCACGATCTACCTCACCATCCACACCCTGCCCTGCCTTCCTCCAACCTCAGCTTCCCATGTATACTCCTTGGAGAGGAAGTTTTAGTAAGTGCACTTCACTGCCTGGCTTATTATAATATACCATTCCCATTCACAAATAAAGGGGTTTATTGGTAGACAGAATTCTTTTTAATTAAGGCCCCTTCATAACTCAAGTTTGGTTTTGGAAAATCTTTGTGAGATATCAGTATTAATTTTTTCCAGTATTTTTGTTGAATGGTGAGCTGTAATAATATTAGCCATAGGCTATTACCATGGATACTTGTAAATATCTTATTGCAGTGGTAAGATTGCCAACAGATATGATAAGACATTACAGCAAGCATTTGAAAAGTCATCCTTTATTTGAAGAATATATTTTGCCCGCACAGGGGCTTTGTCAAGTCTTGATAAAGGAAAATTTTGTCTTTATAGAAAGGTTTACTTTTCTATAAAGTGACTTCTTAACAAATATACATATTCATAAAATAGTGATTTCTTAGCAAGTACAGTATATTCATATTCTTACCAATTTTTTTTTTTTTGTTTACAAGTCGGCTGTCTCCCACCGAGGCAGGGTGACCCAAAAAGAAAGAAAATCCCCAAAAAGAAAACACTTTCATCATCATTCAACACTTTCACCACACTCACACATAATCACTGTTTTTGCAGAGGTGCTCAGAATACAACAGTTTAGAAGCATATACATATAAAGATACACAACATATCCCTCCAAACTGCCAATATCCCAAACCCCTCCTTTAAAGTGCAGGCAGTGTACTTCTCATTTCCTCTGGGAAAAATTTGGATTGTTTCAATAACATAAAATTCAAACCACAAATCACTCTTCCTTCCACTTTTTCCTACTTTATCAATAATAAAGTTTTGTGTCCATTAGTAGGTTTACCAAGCTTTCCTGTCACACATATAGCTACAGGAGTCCTCCATTTATAAACAAAGCAAGTTACAAATGTCTAGACACACACACATTGGGCATTTAGGAATTGTTTTAAATTTTACTTATAACAAATCTGTATGAGTTTTTACCAAGTGCAAGCTGCGTGTATGTCTTTGCATATACGGTAACACATTTTAGTAAAACTTTTCAAGTTTCATTTACCTCCATAGTGGGAAAATTTATGGAATCAATAATTGCCGAAGCAATTCGTAGCCATCTTGACAGGCACAGATTGATTAATGAATCTCAACACGGTTTTACAAAGGGGCGTTCCTGTCTCACGAATTTACTAACTTTTTTCACTAAGGTGTTTGAGGAGGTAGATCATGGTAATGAATATGATATTGTGTATATGGACTTCAGTAAGGCTTTCGATAGAGTTCCACACCAGAGGCTATTGAGGAAACTTAAGGCACACGGAATAGGAGGAGAAATTTTTTCCGGGGTAGAGGCATGGCTGACAAATAGACAGCAGAGAGTTTGCATAAATGGGGAGAAATCAGAATGGGGGCACGTCACAAGCGGTGTTCCTCAGTGGTCAGTGTTGGGCCCGTTGTTGTTCACAATTTACATAAACGACATAGATGAGGGAATAAATAGCAACATAAGCAAATTTGCTGATGACACCAAAATAGGCCGTCCAATTCATTCTAATGAGGACACTAGAGCACTCCAGGATGATTTGAATAGACTGATGCAATGGTCGCAGAAGTGGCAGATGCAGTTTAATATTGACAAATGCAAAGTTCTAAATGTTGGACAGGTAAATAACCATGCCACATATAAACTAAATGATGTAGATCTTAATACTACTGATTGCGAAAAGGATTTAGGAGTTCTGGTTAGCAGTAATTTAAAACCAAGACAACAGTGCATTAGTGTTCGCAATAAAGCTAACAGAATTCTTGGCTTCATATCTAGAAGTATAAATAATAGAAGTCCTCAGGTTGTTCTTCAACTCTATATATCCTTGGTTAGGCCTCATTTAGACTATGCTGCTCAGTTCTGGTCACCGTATTACAGAATGGATATAAATGCTCTGGAAAACGTACAGAGGAGGATGACAAAGATGATCCCATGTATCAGAAATCTTCCCTATGAGGATAGACTGAGGGCCCTGAATCTGCACTCTCTCGAAAGGCGTAGAATTAGGGGGGATATGATTGAGGTGTATAAATGGAAAACAGGAATAAATAAAGGGGATGTAAATAGCGTGCTGAAAATTTCCAGCCAAGACAGGACTCGCAGCAATGGTTTCAAGTTGGAAAAATTCAGATTCAGAAAGGATATAGGAAAGCACTGGTTTGGTAATAGAGTTGTGGATGAATGGAACAAACTCCTGAGTACATTTATTCAGGCTAAAACGTTGTGTAGTTTTAAAAATAGGTTAGATAAATACATGAGTGGGTGTGGGTGGGTGTGAGTTGGACCTGACTAGCTTGTGCTGCTGGGTCTGGTGCAATGCTCCATCCTTGAGTGGAGATGATCAGACTGGGTGGGTCATTGGTTTAATCTGGGGGGGGACATGGACCTGCTCTGCATGGGTCAGTAAGCCTGTTGCAGTGTTCCTTCTTTCTTATGTTCTTATCATGGGTGATTTGACTCTGTATCTACTGTACTTCCAGTGGTAAGAGATATCACACTAGCATCTCACACTGCATGAATGTTCATGTTTTTCCAGAATTGTACAGAATTGGGCAGCTGGACATGGACACCAACAATCGCAGTGAGCGTGTTGAGTGGGGACACATGAAGCACCACTCGCTCTTTAACCCTCTACAACCTTTTGAGATCATCATCCAGTGGTTGTGTGCTACAGGCACTATAGTGGCTGAGCTAGTGAGTGCAAACAGTGCCTCTTTACCTGTTCATTAAATAATGTGCCTGCTAAATGGATGGGAATAAGTGCTTCATGCCTGACAGGAAGTTAAAGTTAATGAATAAATTGTGTTATACACATGTTGAATGAAGGCTGATGGGATGCATGTCTTATGTTTAGATGAACTTCTTCACAATTGAGTTATAATTATAAACTTCAGATCTAGATGACAGGCAGTCTATGACAGTGGTTAGCATTTTAATATATTTATACAAAATGAGAAACCACTTGGTTAAAAATATGAAACACAGGTAAGAAGGATCTGTATATTTCAGCCTCAGTCAGTGAACCCTTTCAGCAAATCTGCTGAGGAGGATCTCAGTCTGAGGCTGAAATTTGCATATTTCTTTCACCTGTGGTTCATATTCCTATCCAAGTGATTTCTCACTTTGCATTGAACAATGTTTTTGACATAATAATCAAAATGAGTTTACACAAATAAGTTTTTATCTGAACAGATGTTATCATGGCAACGCAAAGCTCAAACTTGTGGTCTCCATCTCTTCCCTGTACCGAGTGATCCATTTGCACTGCCATATTCTTGCAACTCCGATCCATTACGTGGTCCCATATTGATTCCGCTTAATGTGGAATGTCTGAGTGTTTCTGGAGCTGAACCATTTGCTCAATTCACATCCAGTACTTGGGGAAGGCGAATGCATCTTTTTCAGGTAGAATATAAGTTTTCTCATTTAGAGTCAAATCTTGCATGGCAAGATAGTCTCATTAAAAATGTCTTATAAGCCATGCTGTTAAAAGTAAATATACTATATACAATAAATAGGATTGTATTTCAGAAATCTGAAAAAAAAAAAACACCAATTTTTTTTTCTTAAAAATATAGTATGGTACAGTATTAAAATTCCCAAATGTTGCACAAGTGTCTTATTCTCAAACTTGTTGGTTTTCTAAACCATTTACATCATAACAGTACTATACAACTGACAACTTTTAACTGCCCCTTCCATGCCCAACACACACCCACTGGTACATTCAACAAAGAAAAACTATGCATGGCTACACTGATGCAATCATTGGCAAGACAGTGTTTGAATGAGTAACAGTGAAAGTGTTTCCTCTTTTTTTTTTTTTTTGAGTCACTTTACATCAGGGGGAATGGGGGGAAGATGTAAGTTATTTGTAGATTGCTTTCATGAATCTTGTGATTACTACAGAATATTTTATTATTGCTAGTGAAAATGTAAAACATTTCCATTTCTTAATGTTATTCATTTCTTTAACAATAGGAGGCCATTCTGGAGAGGTTTGGTTTTGTGCCTTATGTGACTGAAACTCACAGTTTGGAACAGAATCAGTACGTGCACGTGACAGGTAACATGTTCGTCATGATCCATTCACCAGGTACGGGGGTGCACTCCCATGCACCATACCCCCCAGAGCCTTCTCGTGGCCGTGCACTCACCAACCCCCTTACATCAACAAGTTCTTCTCAGGTAGGTGGAATGTAGATAAAATATTGTGTATGTTTAAAAGAATGAGGATAAGTTTAATGTCAGCTTCAACTAGCACTACTATATAAACAAGATTAATACTCTAGTCCCAAGAAAGCTCCTGACCTGGATGTCCTGTTGTGTCCCTCTCTCTATTTAATTTACTGATCTTTTATCTTTCAATAAAGTATTTAAATCAACACAGCATGAAGGGGAAAAAATTTCAGTTTCCCTCTTCCTATCACATCAGAGTTTATTTTTAACCCTCAAACCACTTATGTTCCATACACGTATGTGCATATTTGGAAAACTAAATATACGTGTGTGTGTGTGTGTGTGTGTTTGCATGTGCATAATAAACCCTTCCTTGTGTTTCTTGCTACAGATAAACAAAATGCCTAGAACTGTTATATGAATGTTCATACAAGATGATGATCCAGTGAGTGGAAAGGTACTACTGGTGGGAAGATGGAGTAAATAACAAGTACATGTACAAGGTATACAGGGCTAGCTGACATCAATGACATATACTGCTATATAGAAAGCTCCCTGTTATGCAAAGCATTTTGGGGAAATTAGGTCAGTTTTGTCCCAGGATGTGACCCACACCAGTCGACTAATACCTAGGTACCCATTTTACTGATACGTGAACAGGGACAGCAGATGTCATATGGTAATGCATCCTAATGTTTTCCAGCTGTACCAGGGATCGACCCCTGGATCTCATTGTGTGAGCTGAGTGTGCTAGCAATCAAGCTACGGAACACCTTAGCAATAGAGCTATGGGACACCTTAGCAATTGAGCTACGGGAAAATGGGAAGGTGGAGTAAATGACATTTAAAGCACTGAATATCTTTATGAACAACATTGTTTCTCCCACATAGTCCATAGTGTGGACAAAATATTGCTAATAAAAGTATCCACTACATCTTAGTGTAATTTACTCCACTTCATTGGTACAGTGGACCCCCGCTTAACTATCACCTCCCAGTGCGACCAATTATGTAAGTCTATTTATGTAAGTGCGTGTGTACGTGTATGTTTGGGGGTCTGAAATGGACTAATCTACTTCACAATATTCCTTATGGGAACAAATTCGGTCAGTACTGGCACCTGAACATACTTCTGGAATGAAAAAATATCGTTAACCGGGGGTCCACTGTATTTACATATTCCAGTTTTGGTCTGAATGTGATGTTTCAAAATATACTTTAGTGAACACCACACCAAGGACCCCAGTGGAAATCAGTCACTTTGTCTGATGATTGTACTTATGTGTACCTGTGCCTAAATAAACTTACTTACGCCATGAAACATCTAAAATAATCGGTCTGTATATATACTGTTCAGTGTAAATATTACAACTGAACGAAAATGAGCTCATATTTCATGAGTACATGTTACTGTACTGGTTTTCCTCTCTGCTTAAATTCCCTGTTATGTGTTGAGGTTTATATCAGTAATTCTACATATGTGATATATACTTGCTATATATAATCAGTGTGGTATGCAAAATGTTTTGGTGATTCTTATTATGTGGATTTAACCCTTTGGGGGTTTCGGCTGTACTAGTATGGCTTACGCACCAGGGTTTTTGACATACGTACTAGTATGAATAAATTCTAGCACCCTCAAATCTAGCAAGAGAAAGCTGGTAGGCCTACATATGAAAGAATGGGTCTATGTGGTCAGTGTGCGCAGTATAAAAAAAAATCCTGCAGCACACAGTGCGTGATGAGAAAAAAAAACTTTGACCGTGTTTTTGGATTAAAACAGCGACTTTGCACTGTATTTTTGTATGGTATTTATTGTTGTATTCTAGTTTTCTTGGTCTCATTTTATAGAATGGAAGACATATTAGAGAAATTGAGATGATTTTGACTGGTTTTACAATGAAAAGTACCTTGAAATTGAGCTCAAAGTAGCAGGAATGTTCGATTTTTACCAAAGTTCAAAAGTAAACAAATCATGCTAAGCGTCCAGTACACGTCAACTGGGGAGTCTAATATTCTTTCACAAGTGTGCCGATATTATTTATACCATTTCTACACTAATGCAGTAGTCTGCATAACAGTAAATCTTATTTTTTTTTGTGAAAATAAAAAATCAAAGTGGAAAGCAAAAGAAATGTAAGAGGGGCCTGGGGACGTGACTGATGAACAGGGAAAATGTTATTTTAGTGCCAGGAATGTCTTTCTTGTTTATTTTGGACCCTATCTGGAAATTGGCATCTTTTGAAATTTGTGTGAAATTGGCAAATTTGCTAAATTCTGACCACTTTATTAGATAGTTGAAATTGGTAAATGGGTGGTTTCTTGTACTCATTCGATAGAAAAAACAGAGTTCTAGCGAAATAGTTATGATTTTTGTCGACTAGTACACCTGGAATTGGCTGAAAATAGGGCTCAAAGTGGGCAAAATTGCCGATGCGTAAACATCGTCGAGACCGCTAACTTCGCAAGAGCATAATTCTGTAAGTTTTCCATCAAATTTCATACTTTTGGTGTCATTTAAGATTGGGAAAAGATTCTCTTATCTTTTCACAAGATTTTTTTTTTTTTTTTTTTTTTTTTTTTTTTTTTTTGAAATTTTTTCAACCCTGAGAACAAGTCTCTGAGTGACCCCCAAAGGGTTAAGTGTCAGTGGCCTGATTGTGCTCAGTACAATTTCAGTGAGTTTATAATGCAACTACTACTTAAGCAGTGATGCCTGTATTAAAAAATAGTTTTGACAATGTAAGACTTCACCCATCTGGTAATGTACTGACACTTTCTTGTTTCTTTTTTTTTTTTTATACTATTTGAAATTTTCTGTTAAAAATTAAGAGGAAATGGATTCCTTAAATGCACTAGCTTTAAGGTTAAAGTGCTATACTATGATTAATATAAACTTTACTAAGATACAAAAATGTTTACTGAATTTTTCAGTCTTTGAGACTTTTATAATTTTATAAAAAAAATTTTAATACTGATTTTTAAGAAGATCTAAGTGAACGTTAAGGGTAAATATTGCATGCATGGTATTTGGTGCATGGTGCTTCACTGCTGCTTACAAGGTGTTCCATAAATTAACCATTTGCTAATTATCATGGATTTCTTATAGTAATTTGTAAATGGTTTGCATGAATACATTTTGTCATAAGGATTAAGGCTCAATGTGTTTATTTATCACTGTTTTTTATTTTGACAGCATATTAATGTGAGTGATGTACAAAAATCTGAGTACAGTACTATCTGTTTATAGGCAGTAGACCGTCGGTTAACACTTAATCTGTCGCACTTTTCATATTAACATGATTATAAAATTCCGGAATGTTTTCGATAAACATGCTGTATTAATCAGTTTACAATGAGGAGTACATGCATGGGAAAATATGGCACCTGACAGGGTCTTTTCCATCTGTCTCATGGTGAGTGTACAGGTGAGTGCATTGTCTTACAAAGGAGGCCTACTTAACTCTTTCACTGTCCATCACTTAGCACTATGTCATTGAGGCTAGGGTCCCTGATGTAGTTTTACGGCATGAGCTCAGCTCACTCAGATAAGCTGTCAGCAGTAAATTTTGGCCTAGATATGAGAGAACAGGTCTGTGTGATGAGTGTGCACAGTATAAAAACTCTTACCCCACACGGTGCATGGTGGGAAAACAAAGCTCTGACTGTGTGTGTGGTTTAAAATAGCAACTGTGAAGTGTTTTCTCAGATGGTATTTATGGGTTTATTGGCTGTTTCTTGGTATCATTTGATAGAATAGAAGACATATTACTGAAATATAGATGATTTTGATTGATTCCATGACTGAAAATAACTTGAAATTGAGCTCAAAGTTGCAGAAATATTAGAGTTTTGCTGATATTGGAGAGGATGGGTAAGGCCTCCCCTCAACACCCAGTCTGTTTTATGGGTTGTTAATAGGTCTACTTCAATTACTGGGATGCTTTAAACCATGACCGATCTTCCCTGGTTATATATTATCATCCAAAAAATAGAACAAATTGTCTATTTTTGTGTGAATGAGAATTCAAAATGGAAGGGAAGTGTAATATAGGAGAGCCCTGAGGATGTGACTAATGAACAGAGGAAATGTCTACATTGTTTATTATGGACTATTTTTAAATTGGTATTTTTTTAATTTTGTGTAAAATTGGCAAAATTCCCAACCTCTGTGCACTTTAGAGGTTAGTTGGAATAGTTAAATGTGTGGTTTCTTATGCTCAATCTATAGAACAGAAAGCATACTAACAAAATAGCTAAGAACTTGGATGAATAGAACAATGGAATTGACTTAAAATAGGACTCAAAGCGGGCAAAATTGCTGATGCATAAATTGCACCAAGACCACTAAATTTGCGCTCACATAATTCTGTAAGTTTTCCATCAAATTTTGTACTTTTGGTGTCATTACCTTCAGAAAAAGATTCTATACCATTTCAGAAGAATTTTTTTTTTTTTTAATGTGGGCACAGTTTCCACCCAGTTACCTTTCAACCACCCAGCATCCTCCATCTCCCAACACCAGCCTCCAACCCCTACCGTTCCAATGCTCAGTCTCCACCTCCAAAACCAGCAGTCCCCCAATTGTCACCTCTACACCTAACCCCCATCCCCACACTGAACCCCCACCTCTCAGTCCCTTACCCCAACACCCAGTCCCTTTAACCCTTCCTGGCTAATGCTTTCTGTGAATGCTCCAGTCACTTAAACCCTTCCTTAATAACCCCATACACTTGCGGTGAGTGGAACATCAGAACAATAAGTCACCTCCATCTGCTTTCAGAGATGTGGGATGTGGGATCTTTGACTGATGTACATCACGACATCAGCCTAGAACTACATTATTATTATCATCATTGTTTCTTACAATTTCAAAACCTAAAAATATTTAGGTGCCTTTCTTTGGGGGTTTTAGGAACAAAACCTTATTTTTACCATATGCCCATCAGTTCATTATCAAGATAATTTTTTGGTTACACACCGTTTTCAGGAACATAGCTACCATGTTA